GCCAAATTGGGTGGTTAGAGTGCCGTTTTTTGGTTATGTGATTTTGATTCATACGTGTTTGCGTGAGTAACCCAACGTCTCAACCTTCTACAGATTCTGTTAATAAAGCTCTGTTAAGAGAGAAATGTCAGCGAAGACCACAAATTTTGCACTGGTGAACCATATCTGTCTTGTCGAATTTCTTACCATCGCTATCTTAACATCAGCTGTCATTTCGTAGCTTGAGAATTTGGAAAGTCATATGTTAAGGCAGCGAATTGGGCCCTTGAGAAAACGGGACAAAGTTACACAGACGTTTGACACATACTAAGGGCCGGTTACTCAATGTCTGGTTAACACTAATCTGCGGTTAAACATCGTTATCGACGTTACCGACTCCCTGTTGTATGCATGGAGTCGAACACGTCGATAAAGATGTTTAACCGCAGATTAGTGATAACCAGACATTGAACAACCGGCCCTAAGCCACTTTTAGTAGAAGGTGGAGACATGGGGTAATGTAGCAAATTTTTTATGGTGTGCAAGGTGAATCTATAGAAGGTGGTTCTATCGGATCCGCTGATTTCACGGCGAATTTTTACCTTTTCTCAAAATGATGTGTCTTTTGTAATTCTGCTTTGTACTGATTGTCAATGTGCGTATCGTTTCTTGTTGTAATTTTTGTTTTTACTCTTTCAACAGCACCTTGTAATTGTGATTATTTTCATAATTAATCGATTACTCGAAAAGAAAGTTACGATACAATTATATATATCGTTCATAGATTTTGCGATTAATCTTCCGTCACTACCACTGACGTGTTGCTCGCTGTCAAAAACAACTGATATGAAAAATAAACTCTCTCGCCGAATGCGTACGCGGTGTAGTTGGACCTTGTTTTCTTAAAATGTGTAAAACGGCAATAAAAATAATCGTTTAAATGTCTAAGGAGAAATGTTTGGAGGCTGAAGCAACAAGGGGTCTTGAGATTATTTACGAACAAATCACAGGAAGGTAAGAAATGCGTCAAAAAAGTTTGCTTTATTTATCAATGTCGTTTACAGGTTATGTTTGTGAGCTTCCCAAAATATTTAATTCTACAACAATCCAGTGAATTATATTTTGAACATTCCCAAGTACACACGCTTGTTGGTAGAAGGGCAGACAAACAAATTGTAACGGCATGATTGATCGGCTGTACAAGCTGATGTGGCTTGTACTGCATATACTAGCCAGCGTATATGAAATCTTTAGTTTTCTAATATTGCGTTTGCAAGGTTTAGTACTTTGGTCATATGACCTATGGCACAACAGTGCGGCGATAACCTGCCGCGACCGCGCGTATTTGCAAGGCTGCAAAGCTGAATTAACGAAATTACCAAAACATCTCAATTTGATCATTGGGCCTGATTCACTTGCAAACGTAAATGAAGCGGTTTTGGAACGCATTTTCACATATGCCCACATTGTCGGCATCGATTGCGTCAGTTTATATGATGTGCGTGACGAAAATATGGGACATATTGTCCTGGAAAAAGTATTTATTGCACAAAAAGCATTTTGGAAGGAGTTACGACCAAACCAATACGAATGGAGCCTGCCGGAGTATGACCCAAAGGGCCAAATAAAAGACGAATGCAATAGTAATGGATATGTGGGGAATGGTTCAATTAGTAAAAATGGCAGCGCGTGCAATGGCGATAGTTATGACAAAAAAGCACACGCTAATTTAAAAGTGAGTAATTCATTTTCCATAGTCATTCTTTAAGATAATTCCAAGCCGGAAATTGGCATGTGGTGTAAATAAAATTTTATACCGACTCTCGTTTAATTCATCTTATCAGCTCCGCGAAAATACTATGTACATTACACTATCGTGTTTTCCGTATCAAGTAAAAGAAATACTGATAATGCTTTTGTAGCTGTGAATTTTGAAATATTTTTTTTTGTATTTTTAATTCCTAATAAACTTTTATTTTCTTCTAGATTTATAAACTTACCGAGCAGGACAATCGTCCTCTGATAGTTAAAATCTGCCGCAAATTATTTGAACATCGTAATACCTCTAATGTGCAGCACTTATTGGAAGACCGTAAACAACTCGAGCAACACATTAGTGATGAAGTAGCACAACATATGCAATGGAAATTTGTAGATCCAGAATTGAGTATAATTTTCAACAGAGATACGTGCACTTTCGGGGTGTTACCATGGCAGACAAGATTCACAGAATTCCATACATTCGAGACTGGGCGATACATGAATGCAGAAAGCTTCGCCAAAGTGCTGTATAAATATTCAAAATGTGAACAGCGTTGGGGAAAATAGGTATTTAAAAAATTATGGGCAACTAGTGCAAACACGAAAATTATGAGATGGGGAAACTATTTTAATATATAAATACATTAGTATAAGAAAACAATGTGTGCGCGTGATAAACTGCATTGATAGTAAAAAATTCACTCAATTGAATCGGTTGCACACAAACAATTAAATTATACTAGAAATACATATGTATAATTGTATAAATTACAATTTGATATGTACTATTTTTTGGTTTGTTTTCAATTAAGTTAAATGTATAGAACTATTTGAATCACATTTTTATTACCATACAAATGATAATGAGCAAAAGCGGAATATTAATACATACATATATGAAATTGAATAAAAAGTTGATTTGCGAATAAATATGCGTTGACTAAAAACGCATAGAACATTTAAAATGTTGTGTTTATACATAGTATGAATGTACAATCCTTTGGAATGGTGTGGTTCAAGGATATTGCTGTAAAAAAAGGTTTTTAACGAATGCTGCTGGAGTGACAGTACTTTAGTACTTGGCAAGATATAAATCTGAGTCATTCTTGGTCGGTCTGTTTGAGTTGTTTGACTGATCTATTAGCTGGATATAGCTTCAATAGATACAATGTTGTTCCAGAACGTCACCTCTCGTGTGGAAGGTGTTTGGTAATGGGCGAACTTTTCCAGTTTTTTGAAATGGTTGAACCATTAAATAAAAATAAATTTTTAGAAATAGTATTGTGATATTCTTTTATCATTATTGGATTTTGCTAAGTTGTAAAAATTCTTTGAGGTCTGCAGAAGGTGTATTATGTAACTTCTAACGATAAAAGAAATTTTACAAAAGCTTAAAACACACTTTTGGTACCTATTTTTCTATATTCTTTATGTTAAAAACTATTTAAATAATTTTATCAAAAATACAGCCAATAAACTGCTTTACCGACACATGAAATTTCGCATACAGTTTGAGAGCCTTCGTACTGTGCATATTGTTGATATCCGGAATACAATAGAATGCTGCCGCCGACAAAATAGTTCCGGTTTAAAATTCACATTTCAGCATAACTCAAAACTTTTTTTTAATAATTGGTTACTATTGAAGACAACTCTAGGGCCTTCTCTTTTTGATGAGTTATGTTCGTTGCCCGTCGCCGTGAAGGGGGCAGTTTCAACGTTGAGCTGGCATGTGAAGAGGTGGTTGATGTAGTGCGGGGAGTGTCCACATTCCGGACACTCATCGAGTCTGAACAGATAGCTGTTGAGGCGGCTATAGTATTCAGACCGTAATTTGTCCAGGGTAACGCGGGTCTTTCTTGGTAGTTGAAGCTCCATTTGAGACACACTAGTTGATTGGGCTCCGATCACGGCATTCATAGGCCTGGAGTTGTTTTTGTTGTAGCGGCTACTAAGCCCCACTCAGGTCGGCTTGTTCGTTGTCGTCAGACTCAGTAAGGGGTGGCCCAGGAAGGATGGAGAGCAGGCTGTCGAAGCTAACTCTTGAGGATTTTTGGGTTATTCACCGTCGGAATTTATTCGCCATCGACGTAAAATCCCAGCAGCAGTCGACCTCCTTCGTCCAGGTGGTAAAAAGGGTTGCGGGAAAGTTCGGAGAAGTAACCGTTTACTATCGAGCACAAGTCATCAATTCCATTCGAGATGTAATATTTAGACAGCAGCGAGGAAAGGACACAACCCTGTGGGGGACCACTCCCTATTTAATTTTCCTCGGTTTGCTGATTTGGTGTCTAAAAATTACTGACGAATGTCGACCACTCAGAAAATTCGCTGACCACTGTTTGAGTCCCTGTGGGATAGGGGAAGCCTCAATGGCTTCTGGTAGCGTGGAGGGGCTGACGGTGCCAAACGCCTGTGACACATCCAACGCTACTCGGATCTGATAGGGGCGTTTTCGGTTCAGGCTACGAGTAATCTGATAATCTGCTAAGCGATTGAGAATTTCAGTTTGTGTGGGAGGTGCTACGCCTCCTGTTCCAATACCTATAATTTTTCGGCGTAAGTAGGGTATTTACAATTTATGCATCAGCACCAAGTTTCAGTTCCCCATCATGATTGGCTTTAGAGATACACCAGTTTTCACATTTTAGTCTGTGTGTCAGATGCGACGCCTCCAGTATAATGGCGTTAACATTTCTAGATTAGTGGAAATTATATCCTTTCAAGAGAACGGTGGCCTCAAAAAAGGGGGTTCAAAATTTTATTGTGCCGTATTTGTATGTATATAGATACCTTCAATATACCGTTTTTGCTACAAACCCTCCTCAAAGGACCTCTGGTGTCATCTAATCGACTCTTGATCAAGGTGATTTTGTATGGCCACTTTTTATAACAAATCTAAGCATCTGAAGCAATGAAAAATTTTCTTGTATGACAGACATTGCAAGCGTGAAGAAAAATTATGCCGAAGGTTTCCTGATTTGCTATAGTTTGATTAAACTTAAAAATATTTTTTATTAATTTTATTAATTTATACGAAAGAGAATACCTAATCTAACGGTTACGTCTTATAAATAATAGCTGATAATAGCCAAAAGTGTGTTATTGTATAATTTTTTTTCTGGTTAACAGTGGATTGGAAGAATGAGTCAGTGTGTGTGTGTGTGTGTGATGAATAATTAAAATAAATTGTACAAAGTATATCGCATTTTAATTTCTTGCAAAAAAAAAAAATATATATATAAATGATCCTCCACGTATTTTTAATTACTTATTGCTCTGCGCTCCCGGCATGACGCTTATTCAACAAATTCACCTCTGTCTCATATTCATTTTTTGCAATATTATGCGGTCCTGGTCCCGCAGCAGGTATTTTCTCCTGCATCACATGGAAGGTGTTACGCAACTGTTCCAGCGATTCGGCGAGTCCTTGCTTAATGGCTCCAAATTCCTGTGACATCAGAGAGAGTTTGCCCAGCAGATAATTCAAATTTGTATCCATATCCAACATGCGTCCCTTAATGTCCTCCACCTTATTGCCCATCGAAGCCATGCTGAGGAAAGTGCTGTTCACGAACACCTCATTACGTCCCTGCATTAGGCTAAGCAGATCCTTGTTGTCGATGATCTCGGCATTCATAATGGAAATTTGCCGCCAGACGTGGCTGATTTCGCTTTCGATAGTCGAACTGAGATTCTGCATGGTTTCGATTTGTCCAGCAATTACGTTCTCGTCCACAGCGTCGAAGCGTGCCTTCAGCAAGTCGACGATCTCTTCTCGTTGTTTGTCAAGCAGATCGTTGATCTTTTGCACTGTCTGTAAGGTGCCAAATTCGACCTTGCGTTGCGTGTCTAAAACGTATTCGGAGTTGGCCATCAGAATGTTATTGAATTTGCTGAAGATCTCGAGGCCATCGTTCAACTTGCTGTAGCTAGTGTTCATTTCGTTGTAGAACTTCTCGAGCGTGTCGGCCTGCTCGGTAACGCCTTCCAAAATTTTAGCAGCACCAGTCTCAAGACTTTGCTCGGTCTCCTTGATGAGTGCGGCTGTGCCAGCTTGCGCTGTTGGATAAATAATTTGTGTTAATAATAGTTCAAGCTTGTTTAAAAATTTTGAGAATTCTGAGTCTTTGAACCCTATCCGCACTGCGCTTACCTTGTTCTGTCACACTCTGCACATTGGTCTTCACATTTTCGATCGCAGCGAGCGTATCGTTCGTCAGTCCATGTATTAATTCTTTGTCTGCCTCCGACAGTCCTTCATGGGGCTTGGGTTGCGCGCGTAGTTCTTGTATGCCAGTTGCCAGCTCGTCGAATTTCCCAAAAACTTTGTTCTCGAATTCGGAGTTATCCACCGGCTCTGGCGCTGGCGCTGGCGTTATCACACTATAGCTCACCAGTTTGTCTTCAATTTTGGTTAGCATTTCTGCAGTGGATGGTACACTCTTAAATGCTACCTCGGTCTGTTCCATCATATCCTTGGAGGCGTCCAGCAGTTTTTCGACATTCGAAGATAATTTTTCTATATGTTCGAGCATATTTCGATTAATTTTCTCCTGTTCGGCAATAAACTCTGGCGACACTGCTGGTGCTTGAATGATAGGCGCCGATGGAGCGATTGCTTGGCCACCTAGCGGCATTGGTGGTCGTTTGTAGCATTCATCATTCTCGCGCATCCATTTGAAGATGTGCTCGAGTGTTTCGCCGAGCTTTTCAGTTTGAATGTTGTACTTTTCTTCTTGCTGTAGAGAAAGAAAGAGTAAAAGTGTAATATCTATGTGATACCCAAAGGAATATTTTGGGATGTTTTATTTGACTTACCGTTATCAACATTGTTTCAATTTGGCTGACTCGCTCGTCTAGACGCCCAAATATACCATTAAGCGGTTCGAGATTCTTTTGCCCTTTCTGTAGACTCTGTAAAGCTTTCTTTAGTAATTCGCCAAGCGCTCTTTCACGATGTTCGTGCCGTTCCAATTTGTTGTCCAACTGGTTGTAGGAATACACGAGCGACTGCATGGTTCCACGTATATCATCGCGGCTGGAAAGAAAATATATATACGATTAGATTAGTGTACACACATAAATATGTAAATAGAGGCAGGTTTCCTAATGATAAATAATGTTGCCTTACAGTGTTTGGTCAACTTGGGTTATAAATTCCCTGAAGACCTTCATTAAACCCACTATAATACAACCATCATTTGATGTATTCAGCTGTTGGTGTTTCTCTCATCAACTTCTTCACTGCAATAAATTTTCGAAATTATGGAGTTGTCTTACTCAACTCCTGGTGCAGGGAGAGTAAAATGGAAGTCGAAGCACCAAAAATTTTTACAGTGAATCTCCACAATTTTCTGAGAGCCATGTTTTAGACTTTTTTCTGGCCGGTGATTTGCTATGCGGCACCATTATAGGGACTATCAGTTGAAAATCATCCTACCAAAGTATGTGCGATGATATTGGAGCGAGCGCATCCACCTGCTTTCCGATGATCCTAAAACAATAGTTTCTTTGTTCGTCGCCAATACTACTTTCTCAGACTCAGGTTCGTCAAGCCTATCCAATGCTAAAATAATATCAGCAGTAAGATTCAATTTGATGAGAGTAAAGCGGTAGACTTCGCACGAGGTGGTTTTTCTATGGGCGATCTTCCATAGTAGGGCAACAAAACCATCCAGCGAAGGCCGAAGAGAAGTATTGCACGTTTGACCGATTATTTTAGTAACCCGTTGAAAGACCCATAGAAGTTCAAGCAGATAGTTCGATAGATAATAGAAGTAAGTCCCCTTATCTTCACACTTCGTTTAATCTAAAATCGGCAGGAAGAAATATGTGCAATCCTGTCTCTTTGGCTGAGTTGCAGAGGAGACAGTTGTGTATACGATTTATCGTGATTACCTGCCAAAATTACTTAACATCATGGTGCCCTTAAGCACAACGGATGAATTCAAATGCCTTGATCAGCGCCCTGAAATGCGAGCGTTCAGTACCAATTGACAGTGTGTGGTGGACATACTCGCCACCTTGGTCAGGCTCGAGGCCCATCTAATGCAGCGTTTTTGCTGCATTTAAAATGCAACATTTAGCACTTTCGAACATATGTTTTCGAAGAGCGTTCATGCTATCGCATTTAGCAAATGTACATTTACGCGTAAGCAAAAACAGCCCATAAACCTCTGCCGGCACCTGGTTGCCATACAACTCCACGTTGAACCATTGGAGGTTCTCCCCGTATTTTGGTGTTAAACCACAACCACCACGTTACTCCCCGAGGGGCCGCACCATGAACAGACCGCTGAATGTTTTGTATCTGTTTGGCTGGAAATTCGAACCAACGCATGCAGAGGTCTGGTATATACACACTCCTATGTAATGAATGCATACCTCCGTGCATTTAAGGGAATACAAAGTTCTTTAAAGAATTCTAGGCAAATGTCAGCCAACTTCCGCATTAATTAATTTCTGCAGCTGCGAGATGTGTGCGGGGCGTGCAGCCTATGATCATTTGCATAGACATCAGTCAGCACCCACCCCAAAGACTTTCATTTTTAAGCGCCACTTGGACGATCACCCAATAACTGAAACAACGCAGCGGCAATTTTGAAAATGATAGATGATGATACATTTATGGCGTCTTTGACTTTTACAACTCAAGCGAAATTAGCATAAGAAAACGAAGCGTAGTCTTCGCCTGCCATACATACAAATAAACAGACTGCTTGATCTTAGCCCTTTATGAGTTTCCTTTCATGTAGCAGCTTTGCCAGAGGCATTCTTGCATTAGGCGACCAATTATGCAGAATAGTCACACGCGCAATGAGCGAGTGCCCAATATTTTATTGCCTCGACTGACTGACGCTGCCATTGGTGCCATTTGTTTACATGAAAAGAATCATCAAGTCGAATGCAAACATTATTGTTTACTCGGCATGAGACGCAACTCAATTGTTGCCTTCACTGGCGGTGGGTGCCCTTAATCCCTACAAACATAAAAGGCGCGCATGTACTTAAATGCAATTCATCCAGAAAACGCTGCCCAGCGCTCAGGGTCAAAGCTTTGGCTGGCGATGCGTTAATGCGCTGCAGCACTTGCAACTTCCTCGGCTGGGCTGCCTACTGGCAAGCGTGGAGCAAGCCGCCCAACGTTTGGTGTTTTTTGCGGCAGTACAATGCAATTGCGTAATTTGTTGGCGATGCATTTCGTCAGCGGCGAACTGCAAGTGAGCAGTGCGCATTCATTAATAGACCGACAGAGTATTCTGAAAATAAACAGAAAAGTTCTTTTTTTTTTCTCGTTTTTGAGGAGTGATTGTGTGCTGCTACATAGTTGCAATATGATGAAGTAAGTAAGTAAGTGAAAACCACACACATGGCATACTCGCTCGCCGCCATTGCATATTCAGACAGTCCCACATGTACATACATATGTACGCATGCACATTTTTAGCGTACAAAGGCGCATACTTGTGTGCAAGTAGTACTTAGAAGTTAGGAGATAAGACATTCGTCCAACAACGCAAATGCGTCTATTTTTAGTGTCTCTGACATGCAGATTAATGAGTTGCGTTTTGAAGTAACTTCCAGTAGATTGAGTGTTTGATGTGTGCGTGCTCTCTTTTATTATAAATATCTTTAATGAGTTTTCCTTGTAATGCTGAGAAGTTTTTCTCCATATGTATGGTTTTTTTTTGTTTGAATTGGCGCCGTCTATTAAATGAGAAATTAGAAGTAAAAAATCCTAAACCATAATTGGCATTTGAAATTCGAAGAAACTGTTTTGTTGAAGAAAGATTATATTTGAAGCGAGATCGAGAGCGTACAGTTGCCATCTAGGGCTGGTAAAGGGAAGTAATCCTTACACACGAAGCAATAGTCGAGCCAACACGATCTGGTTGATTCTTAGCTTTGAAAACCTTATTTAATGTTCGAAAACTGAACTTGTTAAATTTTTGAATAACCATCATAAGTAGATAGAAATAGGCGACTTCATACCTACAGAAATATCATACATGGATCCATTTGGATATCCAGTCGAGGTATTCTTCTTCTATTGGCCCATAAATCTGCCGATTATCGGAAGCGTTCACCAATTTTAATAAGATCATAACATGGGCTAACCAGTGAAAAGTCAAGTCCTCTCTTATCGTACAAGAATCGCACTCTGTTAATCACTCATCATGCCCGTGCTGGTGTAAGGCGCAGAAGCTTGAACAATGAAACCAGCCAATGAGGCGGCTCTTGGAGTTTTCGAGGAAGATTTACGGGCCTTTCCGATGGGGAATACCGCAAAAGATGGAACGATGAGCTGTATGAGTCTTACAATGATATAAACATAGTGCGGCGAATTAAAATACAGCGGCTACCCCTGTTTCGTCATGTAGTACGCTTGGGCAGAAAAGCCCCTGTTCTCAAAGTATTCAACGCGGGTCGCTATGCTGTTAACAGAGGAAGATAAAGACTTGCCTTCACTAGGGAATATTATTGGACTCGACCAAAATCGCTTATGCTGGATTTCCACTAGGCATTAAATGGTAAAAATTGTAATGACAAAGTTCGGTTAAAAATAGTCATCAAATTCATTTTCATATGGCATTTTTTAAATGCCTCAAATTTTTTATCATTTCAGCGTTGGGCTTAATTTCAGCACAGACTATGACTTTAAAGACGAGGTAAACATTGAATGGAAAGTAAGATCTGTTAGAAAATGTAGGTCAGGAGATCTGCACAGATCTTGGGAAAAAAATAAAATATTTCGGGCAGGAAAATAGCTCAAAAATGCTGATTTGAATGATTAGTGATGAAGGGAAAGTCGCCTAAAATCCTACACAATTCAGAAAGCACTACATTGGAAAACTTCAGAGATCACAATTAATATGATAGTAAGAAGTATAAACTAACGGTGGTTTAACTTATTTTACCTGAAAATATATCTGAGCCTAAAAACATGCAACATCTAGTTAAATGCTCCCCATTCTGCTAGATATGCTTTTAGACTCCATTACTTTTTGTTTAGAGAATTTCGGCGACGAAAATTTAGCATAGCTATTGTCAGAGTTCCACCGCAAAAAGGATTATACCCTGTAAACATTCGCACACACTTTAGAGTCAGAAAAGTCCCTGAATTATGAGTTTTAACCAGGCCTGGGCGATGCCGACTGCGCAGTACACTCGCTTTAACATCGCGTGTTCGTGTATACGAAGCTGAAGGCGAACATTAATCACTGTTTCTTAATAAATCGCTTAAAATTCTTTAAGCTAAATCACACTTAATTTTCGCCTGCAACTTCGTGTATACGAACAAGCGACGCTACCTCGAGGGTACTGCGCAGTCGGCGTTGCCCAGGCCTGGTTTTAACCTTCACTTTGAGCTTATAAAAGACTATATTTCTCTTTCAAATTAGGAGTCGTATTAGAGTCCAAGTTATGACGATTTTCTAAGTNTTTTTGCGAAAAGTTACCTTGCCATACTTATTTACTACTTAACAAGAATTTTAGCAAAATGTTGCTGATTTTGGTTAAATAAATCATTTATTTCAAAGAAATTTTTATTTATTATTTTTGTAAATTTCTGGAAACCGATTGAAACCTGTGATTGAAATGGTTTCGGTATCGTTCCTTTTCAGGTCAAGATAACGGTTACGGTTTCGGTTTCGGTTTTGAAAAACGAAACGGTTTTAAACGGTTACGGTTACGGTTTCGGTTTCGGTTTCATTCCTTGCTTTAAACTTGTCGAAATATTTCAGAATTTTTTTTTCCGAAATTTCCCAATATACAATCAATTAAAAATGCATGCAAAGTTTGTTTATAGCGATACATATGCAGCATGCAGCTATAAACAAATTGGTGCAATAAATTTGGCTTTTGTTCAATATGTTTATATTTATACAAAACAAGTACGCAATCATATGTACATACATATCGCACACACGATCTTCAAAACTGACACAACTAAAAATTTGGCATTTTTGAAATTATGCACACAGAGCTTTTATATACCTTTCAGCAAAATCCGCATCAAATTTTTGTCATAATTTATTGAAAAAAAAAACCTAAGGTAAAGTCTCCCTGGCCCATATGATTAGCGTGAGCTACGAAATAGTTTTTCGCATTTTCTTACGAACGGGTAATTTTGAGTTGTGTCACTTTTGAAGATCGTGTGCGATATGTGTTTATGTCAGAAAAATGCAGTATGTACGTTAAGAAGACTAACGGCTGTCGGAGAGGATAATTGTTTGTAATTTGCTGCATTTAATCCAAAAATATTCAAAAAATAAGAATGCTTGAATACAAAAGCGAAATATTTCCTGTACGCATCTTGCATTTGCCAGTGCAGTTGTTGCAACTATGAGTAAAAATATGTAATTATTTTACGCATTTGCTAATTTATTTTTAGTTTTGCTTTGATTTCA